AAATCACGGATTAGCAATCACTAACGAGGCGTAAGCACTGGATCACACTGGTACTTGCAAGCAATATCCCACCTAGCCGAGACGCGAGGAAAAGGGTACAGGAGTAGTAGTTCCTCTATCGAAAGAAATAGGGGGTATTAAATAATATGCACACAACAACCTCATTGGTCATACGGGCATCTACCAATCGCCTTCTAGTATTTCTGCCGTTGTTCAGCTTCTGTCTGGGCCGCACGATTTATGATGGGCTGGTAGAATCGACCTATGGTATGTAGTCCAGAATTTGTGGCACGCACGCTGTTTGCTGACGTCACCCGTGAAGCTTGACTGATCACAGTTATCCTAAAACTACAACGCGTCGCTCCATGGTGTGCGTCATCTCGCAGGCTGGGATCACCACAGTAGCATAACTGATTATCAATAAGAAGTTTAATCCTGGGACCTTTTATTCATCCTCTGTGGTATTTGGACAACCATTTGTTCTCAAAAAGATATCAAAACCCCAGTATTGTCCTGAGGTGTTTGATCAGAGCTGTGAAAGACGTTCAGCACCATTTCAGCTGTCATTTCAAATGGATTTATACTCCTGCGAAGGGGAGGTATCACGTAATCTTTCACAAACTAGCTAGTAATGTATAACTGGAACGGATCCACGACACTTGGCTACTGCTTGTATGAGTTGTATGAACAATTGTTCTACTTTCTATTCGCGTGCGAATTTTTTTTTCATTTCATTTCATTTTTCCCCATTTTCATTCCACCCTGTCCCACTGGTTTCATTTGCTCGACCCACACTACCTCCCGAACCATCACTACCCCGCGGCCAATCACCCTCACTCTTTTCGCTTTTCCATACTCAACCGAACGGGCAATGAATATCCGCCCGAATTGGCTGACCCCTCGAAACACACAGTAATTTCATCACTGATCACATACACGGTGTTGAGGATCCACTCTATTTGGAAACAGTCCTAACCGCGAACTACTTTTCCACAGACAAATTGTCAGTGTTCCATACACCACCAAATGACCGTAAGTCTCATGTCGGCGCGGATAGATATTTCGGTCCAAAAATAGAGGTAAACCGAATTTTTCTATCAATCAATTTGTTAGAGTATATCACTGAAACAGAGGCGGTGTTCTTAATTGTTTTGAAACATGCGCAGCTGATAAACGATCTCTCAGTATTGTGTGATATTACCTTGTGTACACACCACGGCAATTTCAGATTTATCTATGATTGATTTTTTATTTTAAAAATCTCCGCAACAATTGAGTCGGTTCGTATCAAGTACACCAGATGAAAATAACGGCAAAACGCTAAGATTATTCGTCAATCGTATTTCAGAATCCAGGATTTATTTTATGATGGAGAGCTTTGATTATCCTTCTGCCCGAGTGACCTCCGTTTGTCGCATCGACCAACGTGATCAACAATATATATATATATATATATATATA